GGCCTGTCCCTCTACGGGAGGAATATTCCAAAATAGTCCCAAAATAATATGGGGACGACTTTTGGATTATCTTTAACCATTTTCGGGCATTTCTGGGTTTTCAGCTATTTTCTGTTTTTTTTTGGGGGGGTATTCTTAATTTCTCGTCCAAGATGCCCCTGTAGGAGGACAGGCCCGTCTTAACCCGAGCCGTTTTTGACGGTTCTGGGCCTGGCCAGGGCCCCCAGAGGCAGAAAGTAGCCGAAAATTTCCCGTCGTGATCTTTCCACACCTCGAGGGGGTCTGCGCTTGGGAAAAGTCCGACGCTCCCAGATCATTGGATGCCAGATTTGTGCGGTCGCGATTGGTAGCGGCCGATGGGCACTCCAAATCGGTCGCGACGGATCTCGACCGATCCCCAAATCGGTCGCGACCGATACCAGAATTTGAAGCAAAATCAGTAGCGACCGATCTCGTCGGTCGCGACTAGGAAATTCCAGAACGGTGGGGGCGTTGGCCAAGGAATGTGCCCAGGAGGCTCCAGACCCTGGATGATTCCTTATCTAATCAGGGCGGCGGTGATATCCATGGACGATCCACAATGAAAGTTCCACTGGCTTCCAGACCCTGGGTTCCTTGTCCAAGCGTTCCTCGCCCAAAGGCCACAAATCTCCAGTAGTGGTTTCTTCCGACGCGATCGTGCTTGGGTCGAAAGTGTCCCAGTCACGAGAACTCGAGTGTCCAATGACCAGGGCCGCAGGCATCTCCAAATCCAGCGCCCAAAACAAACATCCAACACGTAGGCCTTCGCAGTTTTTCCGGCTTCCAGGGGCCCGCAGGGAGCCTCCTTGCGGGCCGTCGGCGCGAACGACGCAGGATGACGAGCCGGCCCTTCTTCTCCTCCTCCTCCTCCTCCTCCTCCTCCTCCTCCTCTTCCTCCTCCTCCTGGGGAAGGGGCCGGGACTTCCTGGGGCCCCGACTTGAGAAGTCAGGGCGTCGGATGTTTGGGCCTGCGCCCGACAAGTTCCCGCCAGGGCCGCGGCCCGGCCGCTTCGCCTGGCCCGCAGCCCTCCGCCAGCCTGCCGGGCCCGCAGCCCGCCGCCGGGCCGCACCTGCCGCCCGCGCCCCTCCCCGCGGCGGCGGAGCTCGTGGGCGAAACTCGGCGGCGAGCCTGGGGCGATGGTGATGATGATGGTGCTGATGATGCTGATGATGATGATGATGGTGATGCTGCTGCTGCTGATGATGATGATAATGATGACGATGATGCTGATGATGATGATGATGATGATGATGATGATGATGGTGATGGTGATGGTGATGGTGATGGTGTATGATGATGATGACGATGCCGATTACGCTTGATGATGATGATGATGATGAGATGAAGAGATGAGTGGACTGGGATGACGATGACGATACTGGATGGTGATGTGGATGAGGATGATGACTGAGCTGACATATATTCTGACAGTCTGGAGTGATGTCGGATGCTGACATGATGCTGGTGTGGTGCTGGTGGGTGTAGACTGGTGATGATGATGCTATTGCCGATGACGACTGCCGATGACTATGCTGCTGCTGATGCCGCTGACCGTAAATGCTGATGATGCTGATGATGATGATTGCTGATGCTGCTGCTGATGATGATGCTGATGATGTGATGACTGCTTATGATGCTGCTGACTGCTGCTGCTGATGGCTTGACGCTTACAGCTGCCGATGACGATGACGATGACGATGACGATGACGATGACGATGACGATGACGATGACGATGACGGATGCGGCGTCGGGGGGCGATGTATGGCCACCGCCCCTGTCCGCGTGCGCTGTGCCTGCGGACCAGCTGTTTTGCGGGGGTGGCGTACAAACGTGGCCGGAGATCCCTGTGGCCGGAGATTAAAAAACATTCGGGCGGTTCGGGGGGGTACTTTATTATCGCCCGCACGCGGTTACGCTTGCGGGGTAGACTTTTGGGAATCTGGTCTGGCTCCGAACAAAAAAAAACGCGCTCTCAGAGCAGATCGGTCTGCCCTCCCTGCGCGCGGGAGGGTCGGAGACCAGCGCGCCGAGACACGGGGCCGGCCTTGGTTCTGGCCCTCGGGGGGGGGGGCCCTTGTCGCCGCCACGGCTGGACGCAGCCCTGGAAACTGTCGGAGGTGGACAGACCTCCTACTCCTGATTTCGTAATAAAGGGAGGGGGGTCTCATTTCGGGGGGGGGTCTCTTCCAGGCTATCTTGGAGGGCCTGGGGGGGTCTGGGGACGATGTTTTGGAGGGTTCTCCCACGGGGGAGGTCTGAAATGGCTTGTCTTGGAGGGTCCAGACCCCCTCCCTTTTTTACGAAATCTGGAGTACCCTGACACGTCGATTTGTGAATTGGCCGTGTTCGGTTCGCGAGAGGGCGTCGCGGCCGTTGTTCTTGCGGGTCCAGATGCGTCGGTTTGGGTCCCAGGTCGTTTTCCCTAAAGGGAGGTTTACTAAAGGGAGGCTTGGTCACCGCCGACAGGTGCCATGTTTGTCCACAATGCCCCGCTCCGCGGCCCTGCGCTGGACCAGCTTGGTGCGTGGGCGACGCTCGGCGGCGAGCCTGCACGGAGAGCAAAGAGCGACCTACTCTGTGAGCGTGCTTTTTTAAAAGTCGGATCCTCCTCCTCCTCCTCCCCCTCCTCCTCCTCCTCCTCCTCCTCGTCCTCCTCGTCCTCCTCGTCCTCCTCCCCTCCTCCTCCTCCTCCTCCCTCCTCCTCCTCCTTCCTCCTCCTCCCCTTCGCGTCCTCCTCCTCCTCCCTCCTCCTCCTCCTCCTCCTCCTCCTCCTCCTCCTCCTCCTCCTCCTCCTCCCCCCCCTCCTCCCCCTCCCACTCGCCCGACGCCACCAGGAAGGCTGGGGGGGGCGTGCTTCACGCCAGTCGTTGAAAGTAGGTATTTCTGGATTCCCAGATCCCAAATGTACTTCAAGCGCCTTCCCACTTCAAGAATCGACATGCCTCGGCTCTGCTCTGTTATTCCCTGGGGGCGGCCTGGACGCCATCAACTTCATCCGCCTTCCTGCTTCATGTTTTTGTTACCTGCTTCTTCCGACCGACGTGTACGCTTGCGGGGTAGATGTTTGGGAATGGCTCCGACAAAAAAAAAACGCTCTCAGAGCAGATCGGTCTGCCCTCCCTGCGCGCGGGAGGGTCGGAGGCCAGCGCGCCGAGACGCGGGGTCGGCCCTGGTTCTGGCCCTCGGGGGGGGGGGGGCCCTTGTCGTCGCCACGGCTGGACCAAGGGCCAGGGCTCGTCTCGACTCCTCCGATTCGATCCGATTCGATTTCGATGGCTTCCGATTACGATTCGATTCGATCTGGGATTCCGATTTGAGTTCCGATTTCTTACTGGAGGCATACTAGCCTGCCGATTTCTGTCGATCCGACTTTTCCCGACTCAGCTGCCGATTTCCGACGATCCGATTCATGTCGATCGCCGATCCGACTTGTCGATCCGATCCTGGGCTCTCCTGAAGGGCGCCCTCGAGGGCGCGAAGTCATCCGCGCTTCGCGGTTCGGCTCCGATTCCTCCTCAGCCTCCTCTTCTTCCCTGGGAGGCGGCGCGAGAGCGCGGAGTGATTCGCACTTCGCGCTCCGCGCAGCGCGAAGCGCGAAGTTGGGAGGCCTTGCTTACGGCCTTTGTTGAGCCGTCTCCCTACTCCCCAGTATTCCCTCGAGACTAAGGAGGAATTTCGGAGTATCGTCAAAGAGACCCTGAAGCAGACGCTCGGTTGCGATGTTGTGCACTTCCGGTACGCGGACGACAGAGTCCGGCAAAACACAAGCCAGTACTTGTTGGTATTCCATTCCGTTCTGGGCCTGGATGACCTTGATACCAGGGCGGGCCCTCGGGGGGGGGGGATGTGTGGGGGGGGAGGGCCTTTGTCGCCACGGCAGGACGCAGCTCTGGAAGGCTGACTGGTGCGTTGGGCCCGCGGGAGGGGGGTGTCCCCAGACGCCCTCGCGCCGTGAAGAAAGCACGACGGTTTTTTTTGTTCTCTGCTATGTTCGGCCTCCCGGTGCCCTCGCTGGGTCTCGGGATCGTCCCCCCAAAAAAGCGGCCGAGGATAAGGAACCGGTCCCGGGGAGGGGTCCCGACCTCTGGGGGTCGACGTTGTGGAAGAAGCACGACGTCGTGGGTCTGGGAAGGGTGGCAAGGGGTGGAGGAGCAGAGGGGGGAGGAGGTGGAGGTGGAGGAGGAAGGACGCGAAGGAGGAGGAGAAGAAGGAGGAGAAGGAGGAGGAAGAGGGGCGGGGCTTCTCTCAGCAGAAGGCGGCGGGCCTTCTAAGAGGCCCTGCTGCCCTCTGAGAGAGTCTTCTGCGCCTACGGGGAAGGCCCTGGAAACTGACTCGGAAGGCCCTCGGCCCTCCCGAGCCCTCCGAGAAAGCCCGCGCCCCTCTCGGAGGAGCGCCGCGTGAGACCACGGCGGTGAGACAGCGTTGGTCCAAATTCATTCAGAAATTGATTCCCAGGCCCCTTCCTCCTCCTCCTCCTCCTCCTCCTCCTCCTCCTCCTCCTCCTCCTCCTCCTCCTCCTCCTTCGCGTCCTCCTCCTTCGCGTCCTCCTCCTTCGCGTCCTCCTCCTTCCTCCTCCCTCCTCCTCCTCTCTCCTCCTCCTCCTTGCGTCCCCCTCCTTCGCGTTCACCTCTTCCTCCTCCTCCTCCTCCTCCTTCCTCCTCCTCCTCCTCCTTCGCGTCCTCCTCCTCCTTCGCGTCCTCCTCCTCCTCCTCCCTCCTCCCCTCCTCCTCCTCCCCTCCTCCTTCCCGCCTCCTTCGCGTCTCCTCCTTCGCGTCCTCCTCCTCCTCCTCCTCTCCTCTCCTCCTCCTCCTCCTCCCTCCTCCTTCGCGTCCCCCTCCTTCGCGTTCACCTCTTCCTCCTCCTCCTCCTCCTCCTCCTCCGCCTCCTCCTCCTCCTCCTCCCTCTCCTCCTCCTCCCTCGCGTCCTCCTCCTCCTTCGCGTCCTCCTCCTTCCTCCTCCTCCTCCTCCTCCTCCTCCTCCTCCTCCTCCTCCTCCTCCTCCTCCTCCTCCTCCTCCTCCTCCTCCTCCTCCTCCTCCTCCTCCTCCTCCTCCTCCTCCTCCTCCTCCTCCTCCTCCTCCTCCTCCTCCTCCTCCTCCTCCTCCTCCTCCTCCCCCCCTCACGTTCCCCCCAGGCGCGCCGCCGAGGCTCGCGCCCAGGTGAAAAATCGGGGCGGAGGTGTCTGGCCGTCTTCGGCCCAACGGGGGGCCCTAACCTGAAGTCGTGCCTGTCCCTCTACAGGAGGAGTATGCAAACATAGTCAAAAGATAGTCTTGGGGCGACTTTGAGATTGTTTTTAGTTTTTCGGGGGCATTGTTGGACTCATGTCTAGTTCTCTTCCAAAGCCCGCTTGTAGGAGGACACGCCCGACCGAACCCTTGCCGAGGCCCGGGCGCTGTCTAGAAACTGCCCGGGGCGATTCGACGACTCGCAAGGGTGACCCTTCGCCGGAGTGACTTTTCGGTGCGGGCCCACTGGGGCCCCCCGATCGCCGAATGCGATGCGATAGCAGCGGCCTGCGCGCTTGGGTTTGGCCTCCTCGCGCCTCCCCAGAAGCAGCGCACCAAAGGTCACTCTTACCCAGGGTCGCTCTTGCGTGTGTAGCCGGAAAGCCGGCCCCGGGAAGAGGGTCGGGGCTTCGAAGGCCGCGGCCCCAGACCTCGCGACCCTCTCCCTGAGCAGTTTTTCGCCAGGGGTCCACTGCTGATGGTCCAAAGCCCTGCAACGGGCCCCAATCGGGAGCTTCGAGATGGGGGTCAGTGCAAACGGGGGTCAGCCAGAGCGCCCGATCTAGCAGGATCCTGCAGGGCCAGGGTCGCATTGCCCCGGGCTTGGGCGCAGGATCCTGCAGGATCCTGCAGAATCCTTCGTATTGCCCCGGGCTTGGGCGCAGTTCCTGCAAGGCCTGACTGCCCCGGGTGTGGACTGACCCGGGTCAGAAGATCCCCGACCCAGTCGTCTATACGCAAGAGTGACCCTTCGCCAGAGTTACCTTTGGTGAGGGCCCACTGGGGCCCCCCAATCGCCGAACGCGATGCGATAGTGCGCGCGTGGGGTTGGCCCCCGCACAGCTCCCCGTAAGCCGCGCAGCAAAGGTCACTCTTGCTCAGGGTCACTCTTGCGTGTAGCCGACCCAGATGCCAAAATCGAGGAAAAGAACCGGGACTGAAAAAACATATCGTCGGAGGGTTGTCAGGAGGGAAGCAGCACACGGACACAAGTAGTCGTCGACCCCCAGGAACAAATATAGGAAACTAGGGGAACTGGGCGGGAAGGCAAAACGCCAGAAAGCATGGGAGAATATGGGGAACCACTCTATTCGTGTGTATGTACTCGTGTGTCCTTGGGCCCCTGCAGTCTGGGCCAGCATCCGCTGCCTCGCGGGCCGGGCCTCCGCGCCGCGACCCCGCGGGCGCGGGGCCTCTCTCCGCGGGTGCCCCGCGCGGAGCGCACGCGCGCGACCGCGCATCCGCAGGGTCGCGCCCCGGAGTCCAGATCTCGAGGGCGCGGGCCCAAACTCACCAGCCTCGAGCGTATCCCTATCCCTAAGATTGACACGCCAGAAGGCGAGGACAATCTCAGGGATGCGCCCTCAGAAGATGAGGGGATCCCTAAGATTGGCATCGTGATGAGGAGGTGCCCAGCATAGGGATAGTCCAGATCTCGAGGGCGCGGGCCCAAACCCCGACGCCATGATTGTTCGTAACGTCGACCCCCAGAGCTTGGCATTGCTCGGACGTGTGCATTTTTCCTCGAGGAGCATCCTTGATCATTTGGCGAAAAAGCCACGCACGAAATCGAAAAAAACACAGGGAATGGACGTCCGAACGATGGCCAGAGAGGTCTCGACCCATTTCCAGGGACCGTTGTATCAACCCGGATCGTTATTCGACGGCCCAGGCCAAGGCAAACGCAGCCTCGGACATAGAGTTTGCACTGGGCTTGCCGTTGTGTCGGTTTCGGCTACAGCGCGGCCACATACGGCCAGACCGGGGTATCTGATCGAGGTCGGTTCGGGGAGGGTACCTTCGTGTTCTCCGTGTTCGTTCGATGCTCTTGTGCATCCTGGGGGAGGCCACCCTCGAGAGATCTTGTGGTTTGGGGTGTGGTAGCTTGCGGAGGTTTTCATGCTCTTGGCGGATGTTCTTCTGTCCTACATGCCTCCTCGACATCAAACGCACTGTTTTCCAACGACGTGGCGAGGCACCCGGACCCCCAATTTCAATGTTGACGCCGACACTGGCGACTGCCATTTTTTGTTGCCCCCGCGGGCCGCGCTGCGCGCGCCCGTCAACATTGAAGCTCGGGGGCGAGGGGTCTGGACAGAGACTTGCCTTTGATTTCAAGAAGGGGTGTAGGTCCGACCGTGTGGAGTTCGACAGCGAGGGCGCGGGTACGGATACGGCCGCCGCTCGTGAGGAGCCGCAGCCCGCGCCGCGCCCCCCGCGGCCGCCCCCCAAGACGATGGGCCCGTGCCAGCAGGCCAAGGCGCCCCCGCGGCCGCACGGGCGGCCACCGGCGGCGGCGGCGTGGCGGCGGCGGCGGCGATGCCCAATACCAGAACGAAGCATCATAGTGTAGAGACCCATGCCAAGAAACACGAGACCCATGCCAAGAGACACCCTGCTTGCCCCTAGGGTGCCCTGGGTTTCTTTGGTTTCGATGGTTTTGCTATGGAAGGCGTGGCGTTCCCACACCAAGAATCAGTGGACGTCCTGGGGTCTCAGGGTTGGGTCTCTTGTGGAAGGTTTCTTGTGGTCGGGCCCCTACTGTAGCTTCTACGTCAGTACTCAAGGTTGATCCACTGACGGGCCCAATGTATCTTCCTTTCAGTGGCATCAAACTCATGCGAAACAGCACGCTCTCCCCTCGGGCCATGACAGGCTCAGAATGACAAGCCCTCCCCGGTCAAGGAAGAAAATCGCGACGGGAGGTTTGTGGCTAATTACCTTCGGTCTCTGGGCGCCCCCAGCGGGACCCAGGACCGTCAACAAAACGACTCAGGATGACGAGCCAGCAGTGGGTCGAGATCCGTCTCTGCCTGCCTCTCGTCCCCTTTTCTCCCTCTCCGCCGCCGCGCAGCACCGACTGCCGGGAGCCGGCGGCGCCGGACGAGGCGCCTCTGGCAGTCCTGTTCTCACGGCCCTCGCCCTGCCGAGGCGACAAGGCATGTGGCGCGCGCGCGCGACCGGGGTGCTTCCACCTGGCCGGGGTCAGCCCCAGCGAAGCGCGCTGGACGGGGGGGGCCCGAGGCGGGAATTGATGCATGACCACCGCCTGGAGGGTCAGTTTTCGGAACCCCGGAGGCGGTGGATATGGCCATTATTCGGGCCCCCCGGGGGCCGAAATATATCCATATCCACCGCCCGCTGGGGCACCAGGATGTCGGTTCCCAGGCGGTGGATATGGACAAACCCCCGCCTCGCAGGGGTGCTTCTACTTGGCCAGCGTCAAACCTAGCGAAGCGCGCTGGACGAGGGGGGCGCGCGGATGATGCCGTGGAGAGGGTCGAGACCTCTGGGAGTCGACGCTACTGAAAAGTCATGGCGTCGGGGGCCCCACAGGCGAGGCGGCGGCAGCGGCGGCGGTGGTGGGCCCGCTCCTGGCCCGGCCAGGCCCGGGAGGCACCGCACACCGACTTGTCTGGCCGTGGGAGGATTGTGCACCTCCCAGACCTCCTCGAGTAGTGAAAAAATCATGACGGGAAATCATCGCCGGGCCTCGGGAGCGTCAAAAAACGACTCAGGATGCAAAGCCGGTCATGGGGTAAGGGTCGGGACCTCTGGGGGTCGACGTAATGAAAAAATCATGACGTCGGGGGTCTGGGCTCCCCTCCCCCCCAGGCTTGCCCCCCCTTTCCCCCCCCCCTCAGGATAACCTAACCTGGCCGGTTGTGCAGGTCCGGGGTGGTGGGGCGCGGGCATATGCAGGGCTGCCCACAGCGCGAAGGTTGGGTTATCGACCGACCCCCCCCCTCCCCCCCCCCCAGATAACCGGGGTTATCGCCGATTCAAAAAAAACGGTCTCCTGTCGGCCACGCGCAGAGGGGGGTATGGGAGAGGGGGGAAGGCTTCTTAGAAGCACCAGTGCCTCTTAGAAGGTGCGGGCCTCGTCTGTAGGTGTAAGGCCGGCGCCTTCTGCGAAGCAGCCTGCTCCTAAGAAGCCTTCCCCCCTCCCCCATACCCCCCTTTGCGCGCTGCCAAACGTCTCAGGCTTTACGAAACCGATACAGAGGAGACCCATGCCAAGAAACACCCTGCTTGCCGCCAGGGTGCCCTGGGTTTCTTGGGTTTTCATGGTTTTGCGATGGAGCGCATGACGTTCCCACGCCCAAAATCGATGGACGTCCTGGGGTCTCAGGGTTGGGTTTCTTGTGGAAGGTTTCTTGTGGTCGGGCCTCCACTGTAGTGATGTGATATGACTGCTGCGTCCCCCGTCCTTTTAAATACTACCTGGATCCAGGGCGCTCGCCCGCAGGCGTGTCACCAGTTGAGCACAGTGTCGTGCTCCTGCCCCCGTTCGGCGACGACCTGGGGGTGGGCTCCGGCGAGCTGCGGGGCCCGATGCGCGAGGGTGTTTCGCAAGAGCGGCGCGAAAAGTGCACCCCACCTCCACCTGCCCTTGCCCCCTGGGCAGGGGGGGGTCAAGTGGTGGTGGGGTGGGGTGCTGTTTTGCTCCCCTGTGGTGGGGCCGTCCGTTAAGGAATGTGCCCGGGAGGATCAGGACCCTGGAGGAGTCCTCATCTAATGAGGGCGGCGGCGGTACCCATGGTCAATGCGCGTTCGGGGTTCCAGACCCTGGATTCCTGATCCAGTGGAGGTAGGATTTCTCATGGATTGGACGTGGTGTCTCGTGCTTCGGGGTTTGGATGGGTGTGGTTTTGACTCGCTGTGCCGAAGTCGAGTCCGCTTTCCCTGTCGGCCCGCGCTATACCCGCTCGTGCGGCGCCGTCTCGGGGAAGAGCCTCGCCCTCGGCGGTGACGGGCGACGCCTTGAGGACGCGGAGAGTTGGCTGCTGGCCGTGGCGGACCTACGTTGTGTCTCTGGGAGGCATCGTGCGACGGCTGTGCTTGGGCCGCGGGGTCGGCAATCCAGACGTGCGGTGTCCCGACTTCTCCAGCACGGGGGCCCCAGAAGTCTCCGCCCTTTCCCCAGGACCGGCTCTTCATCCTGAGTCGTCTTTTGGTACGGTCCCGGGGCTCGGCGAGGGCCCCCAGAGGCCGAAAAATAGGCAAAACCTCAGTTCTCTTTTCCCCAGATCTTAGGAATGGGCTTTTGGTTGTTCCCCATATCCTAAGATGTTTTTTCTTGTGATTCTCCATAGCCAAACTATGGGTTCTTGTTATTATTTTGACCGCGCCGACTCCTTCTTACACCTCACCTTTCTCATCCTCCCCCTCCTTTCATATGATGATGACGATGGTGATGATGATGATGATGATGATGATGATGATGATGATGATGATGATGATGATGATGATGATGATGAGGAGTAGGAGGAGGAGGAGGAGGAGGAGGGGGAGGAGGAGAAGGATGATACTAACGATGAAGGGTGTGATGACGATATTCACGACGACGATGATGATCGATGGTGATGGTGATGGTGAACATGATGTCGTTGATGATGATGATGATGATGATGATGATGATGATGATGATGATGATGGTGATGATGATACTGGTACTGATTATGATGATGACGATGATGGTGATGGTGATGGCGATGGCGATGATGGTGCTGAGGATGAGTATGAGGATGGGGGTGATGAGGATGAGGATGAGGATGATGCTGATGATGCTGATAATGCGCCATCCCGATGGCGGACATGCTGCTGGCGCGACCGCCCATCGCTGGCTGCTGAAAACAGGGCCGCCGAAGTCGGTGAATGAGGCTCTCAAGCGCTTCAAGAAGAATGAGGGTTTCACGGCGGAGAGAGCCGTTCTGCTTGCCAAGAAATACGGGATGGCGCTGCCACAAGAAGAGTAGTTGATTTGGCCTTCTGTGGTCTAGTGCCACGTGCGGACGGTCTTGCATGAGCTGGCTCACATGAGCAAGCCGATCCGTTTTTCTGCGGCAACTGCATGAACGTGACCAAGCTGCCAGCCCGACGCGAAGCGCCAGCGACTTATTTTGCCAGTTTCCCGCGCGCCAAGCCGCGCGCTGCTCGATGCCAAATGTAGATAGTCGCCTGATTCATCGGCCCGATGCTAAGGGCGGGCGGTCTGGCCCGACAGCATCTGCCGACGACGCTTTTTGTTCTGGTGGCGTACAGGACTTGCTCTGGCCGCTGGAGAAACGAGCCGCATGTCCTGACGTGCATATACGTCCCCGTGAAGAATAGGTTATAACAAAAATGGCACAGGGATGGATACCGACACGATGTTGGATGGAAGCGGGCGGGGCCCGTCGCATTAAATAACATCCGCATGCCAATGTTACGGAACGCCGCGTCGCATGCGCTGCGCGGTGCGTGTTAGCCATCCGGCTGCGGGAACGAAGCCGAAAGGCAGATCCTGGAACTGCCCATGCCAGCGGCCCAGTGAAGGATCAACCTGGAAGAGCACCCAGGCATCAAGTGGCATGCGCCTCCAAATGTTGCCACCAGGCGTGCGAGCCAAAGTATGGCATATCTGTAACGTGACCCAGGGTGCACACCTGCGCACGCTGACAACATTGAAAGGCGAATCTTACTTAATGATTGTGTTCGGGCGCTGCCGCCTGCAGATTATTCAAGATGATCGTCTTGACGATGTTGTTATAACTTTGTCCCAGTTGTGTACATTCTTCCTGAGCTAAGCCGTGCCCAGACTCATGCGCACAGACCCACCCGTACTACTGATATTCATTCGCATTCGAATTCATTCACAGTGGGACTCATTGTCAGTCAGTCAATAATCAAGGTCATCCATACTCGAGGTCTCTTGCGCCTAGACACCCACGGGGGCACGGTCCATGCGAATCAATGCGCATATGGGGAGTTCAACGCAGTGAATAATTTGTTCAGGGCCCGAGAGGGTTCGGGCCTGGGGGTCAAGAGTCGAGACCCCTGGGGCGCGTTCTGACCAGAATTTGGAGACCAATCCAAGTGTGGCGACGAGACATTCCCCAGAGGCCCGAAAAGCCCTCGAGGTCCGACGCCTCTTCGAGGCGAAGGGGAGGCTGGGTGCCGCCAGGGGTCGGCTCGGGTTGGCGCCTCCCTGATCAGGCGCCTTCGCTCCGGGCGCCCCGGCCCGCGAGCCCGCAGTGCCCCGGCCCGGGTGCTGCGACCTGGCCCCGCTACGCTGGCGAGGGCCGCGCCGACCTGCCGCAGGATCGGCGCCGCGCCCCCCGCCAAGCTCCCGCGCCCCGCCCGCGCGGGCGAGGCGCGTATCCATATCCGTTGCGTCTTGGAGTCTTTCGGGATCCGAAATCACCAGGAAGCAGAGGCGCGGTGGATATGGATGAGAAGCTGGCCCGTGCGCCTCGGCCTTTAGGCGTGCTCGAAAGTTTCGGACGCACTGGGTCTGGATATCGATGTTGCCCGCAGCCCGCTCTTGGGCAGGTGGGCTCGGCCAGACATTCTCTCGTCCTGACCAACAAAAAAACGAGGGGAGTTGTTATATGATTTCCTGTTTGGGGGGGCCCTCGCGGGGCCCCCGGGTCGTCAACAAAACGACCCAGGACGAAGTTAACTTGTCCCGGGAACAGCGCCAGGACTTCAGGGCCCACTTGTTTCACATCAGTCAGGACATCGCACCCAGACCCCCGACGTCGTGATCTTTTCACAACGTCGGCCCCCAGAGGTCTAGTCTGAACCCCTTCCCCAGGACCGCTTTTTCATCCCCAGTCGTTTTTTGATGGTCCCGAGGCCTGGTTGGGGCTCCCAGGGGCCGAAAATAGAGAAAAACCTCCCGTCGTGACTTTCTCGCGACGCGAGGAGGTCTAGGCATGTCGGGGCCTGCCAGGCCCGCCCACGAGGCGCACGGCAGCCGCACCGCTCGGGGGAAGAAGGGGCGGGGGGTACGGAATTTGCTGCGTGCGGAGCGGGTTTCGGCTCCGCCGCCGGGCGCTGTCCTGGACGCATAGGGGCGCCGGGCAAGTCACCTGCGTGAGCTTTGGCATCGCTCGGACGTGTACCCATCGGTAGTTGAAAGTAGCCCTTTTTGGATGCCCATCTCCCAACCTACGTTGAGCGCCTTCCTACTTCAATGATCGAGTGGCTTCACCTTCTCTTTAGGGGGCGGGCGGACACCCAATCTACTTTCAACGTCTTCCTACTTCATGTTTCTCCCTAATTCTTCCGACCGATGCGTACATTTTTTCGGCGAGGACCATCCAGGAACATCTTGGATCACCTTGCGAGAAAGAAACGCGCGAAGCCAAAAAAACAACACGGGGAATGGACGTCCGAGCGATGGCCAGGAGCTGATTTGTTCACCCCACCTGGCGCTGTCCCCCCCTTGTCTCGGCCACGCGCAGAGGTGATTTAGGGGAGGGGGGAAGGCTTCTCAGAAGCACCCCTGCTTCTCAGAAGGCGCGGGCCTTCTCTGCAGATGTAGGGCCGCGCCTTCTGAGGAGGGCCTCCCTCTAAGAAGCCTTCCCCTCTTCCCCCTACCCCCTTGTGCGCGCCGCCAATTGACGCCCGACCTGGATCGTGAGTGGACGGGAACGGGGGGCCGACTTAACTATTCCCAGACCCCCGACGCCATGATTGCGCACGGCGTGCGCACCCAGGCATCTCGCCCCAGTGCCTGGGGACCGGCTCTTCATCCCGAGTCGACTCGGGATGAGGAGTTTGTTTTTTGATGGTCCGGGAGTCGATTCTGGGAGGAGGACGAGGAGGAGGAGGAGGAGGAGGACGAGGAGGAGGAGGAGAAGGAGGAGGAGGAGGAAGAGGGGGAAGAGGAGGAGGACGAGAAGCATGAGGAGGAGGAGCATGAGGAGGAGGAGGAGGACGATAAAGAGGAGGAGGATGATGATGATGATGATGATGAGGAGGAGGAGGAGGAGGAGGAGGGGGAGGAGAGGAGGAGGAGAGGAGGGAGGAGGAGGAGGAGGGGGAGGGGGAGGAGGAGGGAGGAGGGAGGAGGAGGAGGAGGAGAGGAGGAGGAGGGAAGGGGGAGGAGGAGGAGGGAGGATGGAGGAGGAGGAGAGGAGGAGGAGGAGGAGGAGGAGGAGGGAGGAGGAGGAGGAGGAGGAGGAGGAGAGGAGGAGGAGGAGGAGGAGGAGGAGGAAGGAGGAGGAGAGGGAGGAGGAGGTCTCGGGAGCCTTGAGACGGGGGTCACTGCAAACGGGGGTCAGCCAGGAGTCGCTCCTGCGTGTGTAGCCGGACAGCCGGCCCCGGGGAGGGGGTCGGGGATTCGAGGGCCGCGGCCCTCGCGACCTCGCGACCTCGCGGCCCTCTCCCTGGGCAGTTCTTCGCCAGGGGTCCCCTGCTGATGGCCCGGGGGCCCAGCAACGGGCCCAAGTCGGGAGCCTCGATCTGGGGGTCAGTGCAAACGGGGGCCAGCCAGAGCGCCCGATCCTGCAGGATCCTGCAGGGCCAGGGTCGCATTGCCCCGGGCTTGGGCGCAGGATCCTGCAGGGTCCTTCGCATTGCCCCGGGTCTGGGTGCACGATCTTGCAGGAGCTTGCAGGATTCTGCAAGGCCTGACTGACCCAGGTCTGGATTGACCCGGGTCAGAAGTTCCCCGATGCTCGCACTTTGGGGCCGCGACCGATTCTGGAGGCAAATCGGCCGCCATGCCAACAAAGTGGGAAGCAACATCGACAGGGACCGATCTCGTCGGTCGCGACCGGAGTCCAGTGTCCAAAAGATCCGGGCGCGGGGGGGGGGCGGGTCGACTACACGTAAGAGTGACCTTTCGCCGGAGCGACCTCCGGTGCGGGCCCAGTGGGGCCCCCCGATCGCCGGACGCGGTGCGGGGTTAGCGTCTTGCGCGCACCCCGCGGCCCCCAATGAACCGCGCACCAAAGGTTTGGGCGGGGCGCGCTCGCGCGGAGGCCCGCGCGGAGGCCCTGAAGGAGGCCCGGGGTGCTGAGCGCCGGCGGGGCGCCCTGCTGGGCCGGGCGGCCGCGGGCCTCGGAGCGCTCACAAGCCGGAGCAGGTCGAGAGGCGCCCCTCCCATCTCCGGAGGGTCGGAGTCGAGCCGTGGCGAAGCGTTTTCTGGCTCGCCCAGAGGGTCGCTCCTGCGTGTCGCCGAGCTGGGCGGCTCGATCGATCGGCCCTCGGCCTCCTCGCCCTCCTCCTGGCGCAGGGGGCCCACTCGGCAGGCGCTGCGGCCTCGCCCGCGGGCCATCCCGCGGGCCACTCGGGCTGCACTGATGCAGGCCTCGTCTCCCTCCTCGTCTCCCTCCTCCCCCTCCCCCTCCCCCTCCCCCTCCTCCTCCTCCTCCTCCTCCTCCTCCTCCTCCTCCTCCTCCTCCTCCTCCTCCTCCTCCTCCTCCGCTCCAGATGGGGTCGCTGGATCGCGCCGGCGGCCCGATGTGGACCCCGAGCTTCTCCGCGCCGACGGCGCCGATGGCGCCGATGCATCGGCGATGCGGCGTGATCCTCCGACTCCGCTTGGAAGGCCTCCGACTGACGAGGAGGAGGCCCGGCTGCATGCAGCGGCACGTTCCAGAGAGGGGGTCCTCGCCTCGGGAGGGGTCGGGGAGTTGGCGTCTTGCCTTCGGCCGAGGCCGGCGGGAAGCTCTCTGGGTCTCCCAGATGGTCACCGAGCGCGTTCCACTACTCGCAAAGTGCCTACTCCCGAACGTCCGCACAAAAGCACATGCCTTCCTCTATGTAATTAAGGGCTCCCACGAGGGCGCGAAGTTGTTCGCGCTTCGCGGTCCTCGTTCCTTCTCCTCCTCCTCGTCCTCCTTTTCTCCGTTTGGGGGGGGCGGCGCGAGAGCGCGAAGTTATTCGCACTTCGCGCTTCGCGCAGCGCGAAGCGCGAAGTTGGGAGCCCTTGGTAATGGATCGTAGATCCCCGGCGGCGAATCCAGGCCATTTGCGAGTAGTTTTTGTTGCGAGTAGTGGAACGCGGTTGTTTAGATGGGGTCGGAGTAGATGGGGTCGGAGGATCGCGCAGCATCGACGATTCATCGCCGACGCATCGGCGATGCGGCTCGACGCCAACCCCGATGCTCTCCACGCCGGCGTCGCAGGTGCATCGCCGACTTCGCCAGTGCATCGCCGATGCATCGCCGATGCATCGCCGATGCTCGGGCCGCATGTGGCACCTTGAGTCGAAACCATTGATACGGACCCCCTCTGCGACCCAGAGATCCGACGTCGTGATTTTTTCAATGCGGGGCCCCCGGAGGTCTCGACCAGTTCCCCGGGACCGGTTTATCATCCTGAGTCGTTTTTTGACGGTCCTGGGGCCCGGCGAGAGGGCCCCTTGAGGCCGAAAATTGTGAAAAACCTCCGTCTTGATTTTTTTCAATGCGTTGGATCTCTGGGGAGGCCTCTGGAGGCAGAGCGGGTGCGGCCCCGCCGGCGGAGGCAGGCGGGAGCAACACCTCTAGGCAGGGAATGGACGTCCGAGCGATGGCGAGCTTTGAGCCGAAGCCATTGATATAGGGACCCCCTCTACGAGGCCTCTGGAGGCAGAGCGGGTGCAGCCCCGCCGGCGGAGGCAGGCGGGACCAACACCTCTATAGGCGGCGGCTCACGCGGAGGCCTCCGCGCGTCACGGACGTGGAGCGCACGCCGGCGAAAGGGCGCCCCGGGGGCGGCCAGCTGCGCCCTGGGTAGGGCGCCGAGTGGCGTGCAGGTGGGGCCCAGTCGTAAGTCGGGCTGGTCCCCCTACAGGGGTATTTTCGACGAAAAATAAAAAATACTCCAAAAATAGCCCAAGGATACCGGAGAAAAGCCCCAATGATAATCCTTTTAGGGCTTTAGGGCTATGGGGCTATAAGGCTATAGGGCTAGAAGGCTATGGGGCTATAGGGCTACAGGGCTACAGGGCCATAGGGCTATAGGGCTATTGGGCTATAGGGTTATGGGGCTGTAGGGCTATAGGGCTAGAGGGCTATAGGGCTATAGGGCTATAAGGCTATAAGGCTATAGGGTTATTACGGCTATAGAGCTACCGGGCACCTGGGCACCCGGGCACCCGGGCACCCCCAGGCACCCGGGCACCCTGGCGTGCGGCGAAAATCGGCGGCAAGCCTAACCTAACCATATGAATCCGCTAGGACCCCTACAAAGGCAAGCTCTGATTGGGGAAAAATAGTCTGGGGATTATTTTTAAAATATGTTTGGACCTTTTTGGCGCATTTTTGGGGTATGTTTTGTTTTTCGTCGAACATCCCCCTGTAGGGGGACAGGCCCGACTTAAGCCCAGTAACGACCAGTAGCGCCCAATAGCGCCGCGTGAGGGAGATACGGCATGCTCGTTTGGAGCGTGGTTGGACGCGTCACTGGGCGCCGTGGGGACGAGCAGAAACTCCCATGAGCTGCTTTTTGTTAGACAGTGGTGTCCATGTTAATGCGTGGCTCTTTCTCTCAGAGTTCAGGCTGTCTGAAGCGGCCCCTGTCACGGGGATGGGGAACCTGTATGATTACGTAGTCCCTGGGTCGAGCCCCGAACGCGCCCCCACTGCCTTTGCCTCTGCCTTCGCCTCGTTCTCGTCGTCCTCGCCTCCCTCGTCCTCTTCCTCCGCCTATTTGACGTCACATTGGTCCCAGGACGGCGTGGTGCTCTGGCACTGGCTCGCCGCAGCAGGTCAGAGGTGGTAGGCTCTGATAGTATCGATGGTCGCCGCGCTCGTAGGGCAGATTGTTTGGCCCAAATTTGATAGAAGATGATCGTGCGTGACGTTCGTCCTTGTCATCGTGCACCGCCTTTTCCCCCAAATCATCCTCGTTCAAGTCAGTATCCTCCTCCCTTTTCTTCCCTCCCCCTCCATCTACTCCCTTCTGTTCGTCCTTCCGCTCGTTTTCCTTGTCGTTGTTGTCGTCCTCCTCCTGCTTTTCCTGCCCTTCCTCCGCCCACTCCTCGTCCTCGTCCTCTTCATCGTCGTCGCCTTCATCGTCCACCACCTCTCCCCTCTAACAAAAGTCATGCCTCTGGGCTTTTCCAGGGGTGCGCCTGACCAGAACCTCTACGGCAATCCAGCCGTTGCGTTGAGAAAGCCCCCAGAGGCCCACGAAACAGAACGCGCTCAAAAGCCTTGATCCTCGAACGTCGTCATTGTCCTGCTCCCCCAGACCCTCGACGCCGTGATGCTTCAAAACGTGGACCACCAGAGGCCTCGACCCACTCCCCAGGACCGGCTGCTCATCCTGACTGGTCCCCCAAACATCGGGCCGGACGAAAGGGGGGGATTGGGAAAGGGGGGGTTACGAAATCTGCTGCATGCAGCTGGTTTCGCCCCCACCGAGGGGCCCATTCCTCGATACATAGCCGCCTCTGGCGCCGGGAGGCGCCGGGAAAATCAGCTACGTGAGCTGATTCTCAAACCCCCCCTTTGCTATCCCCCCCTTTCGCCCGACCCGAAAACAGTGCTTGCCTCTGGGGTCCCCGTCCGTTTTTCGAGGGGTGGGGCTCGTGCGCCGCCTTGGCCGGCCTGCCGCCGCCCCGTCGCCGCCCCGTCGCCGCCTCGTCGCCGCCTCGTCGCGGGCTCGCGGGCCGTGCCAGCCGGCCTGTGGCCGCCCCGTCGCCGCCCCGTCGCCGCCCCGTCGCCGCCTCGTCGCCGCCCCGTCGCCGCCGCCTCGTCGCCGCATCGCACAGCCATCGCACTGCACTGCACTGCGATCGCACCACACAGGGTCGCACCACATGGGTCGCACCACACAGGGACCACCACGCAGCGCACACCCCCCATGCATCGGGCTGCACGCCTTGCTCGACAGAGCTTGCACCACATTGCCCACATCACCTCGATGACTACGTTGGCTCCGCATAGCTTGCACCACTTAGCTTACACCAGTAGCTCACACCATATATATACATATATATATATGTACACATATATATATATTATGTATACATGTGTATGTATAGATATACACATACAGCTTGCACTCCGTAGGATGTACCACTTGGATTGCACTACGCAGCTCACACCACGTAGAGCGCACCATGTGGATTGCACCGCGTAGTTTGCTCCACACAGCTCACACCCCATAGATCGCACCACACAGATGGCACCACGCGACTGCACCACACTGCTTACACCACAGCACTTGCTTGCACCACATAGCTCACACCACAGGACTTGCGCCCCACAGGTTGCACCACGTAGCACTGCACCACCTCATGCCAGAAGCTGCTGTTTGGAGCCCACGCTGGCGGAGCATAGCCTGACAGTCCTGGGGGCCCGGCGCGGGCCCCCCGGGGGACCGACGACGACGCACAGCGCCCCGCCGTGGTTCTGCGCCACCGCGCGGAGGGGGCCCGACCCCCCCCCCCCCGACAGGAGAGCGCCTCCGCCCTCGGCGCCCTGCGCTTCGGCCACGGCGCGGCGGCCGCGCGCGGGCCGGCCGCCCCGTGGGGAGACGGGGGCCCCTGCTGGTGGCAGAAGGCGCGGGCAGGGTTTGTGTCCATGCGTGGCACCCCGCAGTGGCGGATCTTTTTTTTACACGGCCAATCCCCTGCCATCAAGAGCACTCGAAAGCAAGGACATCCGCCGCCAACGAAACACCTTTGTGCTTCGGGTGACGGCCTTCTACCCCGCAGCTGCGGATAAGAGGGAGGAGGCGGGCGTGGGGTGCGTCGAGGGGTGGGTCGCGGGGTGGGGGGTGGGTCGCCGGGTGGGTCGCGGGGTGGGTCGCGGGGTGGGTTGCGGGCGGGCGAGGACGACAAGAAGAACAACAACCACAACAACAAAAGCAACAACAACACCAACAACAACAATAATAGTAACAACAACTACCACAACAACAACATATTGTAAGACTGTTCGCTCTGACCTGATCGCGTGCCATTCAACACGTATATCCCAAACCCTCGATACCCGCCCTCTTCGGCTTCGATCCTAACCCCCTTCGGTGAATATCTTCCTTTTCTGCAGCGTGTATTTCGTGCAGCCCCAGAGGCAGGGGAAGAGAGGACGGATTGAAGGAAGGGGCAAGTGGGAAGGAGGAGGATGGAGCACAAGAGAGAGAGAGAGAGAGAGTATCAGAAGGGGGGTTAGGAACAGAAAACACGTGTCAGAACCAGACGGGCAGATCGGGCGGATAGACCCTAACGGGCGGGTCGGGAAGGCGGGCCCAGGAGGCCAGGTCGAGCAGGCGGGTTGCTGAAGCGTGCGTCCTGCATGAATCGCGAGAAAGTCTCGAGCTGTAGCGCGATTCCCAAATACATCGTGAGGAGCTCCACAGCGAGAGCGTGGTTCCTGAGTGTCGAGGGCGCGGCGTCTGAATAAGAGCGTGTTTCTTATTGTTTTGGGCATGGCGGGCGTTATAGCATCTGGCCCCCCCCCCCCACCCTACAGCGTAACGCCCCCCCCCCAGTGCGCCCCAGGCACTGCCGCCGTGCGCATCGGGATCCGCATAGGCGTCCGCATTGGAATCCGTGTAAGGGGTCTGGTCCGCAGTCGTCGCCGTCGTCGTCGTCGTCCTGGTCGTCGTCGTCGTCGCTCGTCGCTCGTCGCTCATCGTCGTCGTGCGCGCGGACGCGGCTGGAGCCTGTTTTTTTTTCTGGGCCGATGACGGCCGTCATTTGGGGGGGGGGGGGCGGGGCCGAGGACGTCACGTTTCGCGCCGGCGGCGTCTGGGAATGCTTCGGAATGACCGAGGACGGGGAGCAACAGCATGTAGGTGGCGATCCGCACCACAGCGCCTGTGTACACAGTGCCTGCGTGCACCACAGCGCTTGTGTACACCATAGAGCCTATGTACACCACAGCAGCCGCGTGCAACACATCGCCAGTGTGTGCCACAGTGCCTGCGGGCACCACAGCGCTTGTGTACAACACATCGCCTGCGTACACCACATCAGCCTTACGCAACACAGCACCTGTGTACACCACAATGCTTGCGTGCACTACAGCGCCTGTGTACACCACGGCGCCTGTGTGCACCACAGCAACCGTGTGCAACAGAGCACAATTGTTGCACATAGAAGTTCAGAAGGGATCCTTATGACAAAATGGACCGCCTGCGGATTCCACAGAAAACAATCGTTTCATATAGGACTTGGAAATAAACCCTTATGGGAAAAAAGAGCGCCGCTGGAATCTAAGAGTCTTCCCGCATCATCCTAGCTCCTCCCATATGCGTCCAGGAGGCTCCAGCAGAATTGGCCATCCGAGAACCAAGTGGATTCATTCAGTAGACCATTCTGCGGTGCGCGCTGAGATGCGCACGTGCGCTGTAGCGCCGACCCGCACGACAGGGGGGAAGGGTGATGCAGGAGGACGAGGACGACGAAGAGGCGGAGGAGGAGGGGGAGGACGAGAAGGAGTCAGTCCTGGCAGTCGCTCCGGGACTGGGGTGGCCGTCGGATCCAAGATTTCGTTATCGATGTTTGTTGGCGGGTACCGTTCAACCCTTCAAGGCATCCCAGCGTTGTCAAGTTTTGCGCGGCGGTTGCACGACGACGGTGGGCGCGCCGTCGAACACCTCAGGACGGGCATTTGTTGTGGGTCGTGGCCCCCTGAACGGGCAGGTGGACCTCCCCTGGCCTCTCTCGCGTCCCGCGGTGCCATGGGGAGTTTTCCGCGAATTGTTTGATTTGAGTTTCGCAGTTGCGGGGTGTGTTTCGAGTTCCTCTGGCCTATGTGACGAGCGAAACCGCGCAAACCAGTGTAAGTTTTGAGATCCGAGCCAGAGTCGCATTAACTCAAGTCATACACCAGAGTTCATATTCCCGCGATGACCGTTCGAACACGCAGGAGGACATTAGAAAGGAGCGTGTTTGAAACCGTATATGCGCGCGCGTTGAAACTAAATACAATTTAAATGTCGCTTCGTGTTCAACATGAACGCGTCATTTTAGTTGTCATAACACATTTAATGTTTGAATGAATTGCCCCTGAATCGCAAATGCATGGTTTCACATGTTCAGTCAAACAACGTTTTTGTTGTCGTACGTTTTTGTCTATTGAAATCGATCGGCTTATTCATTGTTCTCAATGTTTTGTCAAACTATACCGCGCGGTGAGTCTATCGAGTTTCGGCCGTTGTCAGAATTTCGTAGGCGGAGGGTTACCAGTTTAGCCAAGATGTCGTCGTTATTGTCAAGGGGTGGTTGCCCTTGAAGATTTGTTCATGTTGTCGTCGTTTTTCTTGCGAAGTCGGTTCCACAAGTGTGTGCCGGGAGTGGTGATGATGATGCTGATGATGATGATGAGGAGGAGGAGGATGAGGAGGAGGAGGAGGAGGACGGGGGGAGGAGGAGGAGGAGGAGGAGGAGGAGGAGGAGGAGGGGAGGAGGAGGAGGAGGAGGAGGAGGAGGAGGAGGAGAGGAGGAGAGAGGAGGAGGAGGAGGAGGAGGAGGAGAGGAGGAGGAGGAGGAGGAGGAGAGGAGGAGGAGGAGGAAGGGGAGGAAGAGGAGGAGGAGGAGGAGGAGGAGGGAGGAGGAGGAGGAGGAGGAGGAGGGAGGAAAAGGAGGAGGAGGAGGGATGAGGGAAGAACGTCCCATTACATCATCAACACTTCCCTAGTTGTTTAGCTGTCCGCTGCAGATCCTCACTTACATGCTCCTCTAACCTGTCTTGTGCACGCATGCGCTGTGGTGTACACCAGCGCTGCGTTGCACGTTGTGCTGTAGACAGGCGCCGTAGTGTGCACAGGCGCTGCGGTGCACGCAAGCACTGTGGTGTACACAGGCGCTGTGTTGCACTTGGTTGCTGCCGTGTACACATTCGCTGTGATGTACACCAGCGTTGTGGTGCACGCGAGCACTGTGGTGTACACAGGCGTTGTGGGGGAGATCGCCACCTAAATGCTGTTCCTATTTGGCCTTGGTCATCCCTGGGCATTCTTGGACGCCGCCGCCGCGGAACGTGATGTCATCTGGGGGGGGGGGGGTCGGGGCCGATGACGGCCGCTATCCCAGAAAATAATAAACAGGCTCCTGTGGTGCCGGAGCCACGCGGCGGGGGGGGGGGGGCGTTACGTTATACCCTCCCCCGCCCCCCGCCCCTATATCGCCCAGTGTCGCCAGAAATCTAGAAACGCGTTCTAAATTTCGAGGAAGACCCACGCGAGAGCGCGATTCTTGTATACATTGTGAGGAGGTCCCGCGCGAAGCGCGATTTGGGAATAAATTCTTTACTCTGCGCGTATCCCTACCAGCCCATCTCACAACAGCAACTCTTCCGAAGCATGCCGACAGTCGTGTTTTTCAGGCGTGTTTCCGCCTGCCCCCGCATATCTCCCCTGTTCCTCCTTCCTCCCGCCTCCTTGTACATCCTCCTTGTGGTGGGAGCGGGAGAAGGACGAGGCGGAGGAGGAGGGAGAGAAAGCGCTCCTCGTGGTTTGAGTCGTTTGGGGTTCTCGTCCTGGTGTGAGTCGTTCGGGCCCTTCTTCCTGGTGTGAGTCGTTCGGGCTCTTCGTGGTGTGAGTCGTTCGGGCTCTTCGTCCTGGTGTGAGTCGTTCGGGCTTCTCGTGGTGTGAGTTGTTCGGGCCCCTCGTCCTGGTGTGAGTCGTTCGGGCCCCTCCTCCTGGTGTGACTCGTTCGGGCTCCTCGTGGTGTGAGTCGTTCGGGGCCCTCGTCGTGGTGTGAGTCGTTCGGGCTCCTCGTGGTGTGAGTCGTTCGGGCGCCTCGTCCTGGTGTGAGTCGTTCGGGCCCCTCCTTCTGGTGTGAGTCGTTCGGGCTCTTCGTGGTGTGAGTCGTTCGGGCCCCTCGTCCTGGTGTGAGTCGTTCGGGCTCCTCGTGGCGTGAGGCGTTCGGGCACCTCGTCCCCTTTTGGGGCGTCTTGGGGGCCTCTTGGCGGCCCCAGGGGCTTCTAGGAGCGTCTTGGGTGCCTTAGGGGAGCGTCTTCGGGCCTCTTGGGAGCCTCTTGGAGGCCGTTTGGGGCGTCTTGGGGGCCTCCTGGCGGCCCCAGGGGCTTCCAGGAGCGTCTTGGGTGCCTCGGGGGAGCCTCTTGGGGCCTCTTGGGGACCTTTTGGGGGCATCTTGGGGGCCTCTTGGAGGCCTCTTGGGGGCCTCCTGGGGGCCTCTTGGGGCCATCTTGGGGCCTCTTGGTGTCTCCTGGGCGCTTATTGGGGCCATCTTGGAGGGAATCGATCAAAGAAGAGGGGAGCTTTAATGAGCGCTGCCCCCTCAAAAGGGCAAAATGAGGCCAACACCTTCGTACAATCAATGATTTTGCCTTGAAAGAAGAGGGGAGCTTTAATGAGCGCTGCCCCCTCAGAAGGCCAAAATGGGGCCAAAACCGTAGTAAAATCAATGATTTTGGCCTCAAAGAAGAGGAGAGGGTTTTTTCTGGGCCCCCGTCGGGGCCAGAATCCTCGTGAGGGGTGTCGTTTTTTAGCCCTCCCAGGAGTCGAAAATGACTCCCCTGACGACCCGCGGAGGGACCTCTCCAGGCCCAGGGGGAGGGGGTAGGGGGAGGGGTAAACCCCTCCCCGAAGGGGAAGAAGGGGGTTAAGAACAGAGCGGGCTCTCTAAAGCACTCACGCCCAAAGGGCTGGTGGGATTGTGAGGAAGTCTCTGGCGGAAGCCGTCCCTTGTAAAAAACAGGTGCCAGCCCCGGGGTAAGCATATCAATCAAAATATGCAATGGTTACTGCAGGCGGGGATCAACAATAATTGTTGTTCAGAAATGAGAGAGTTCAACAACAACACCAACAACAACAGCAAACCAAAACAACATCAGCAACAGCAACAGCGAAAAACAACACGCACAACAATCATGTTGAGACTGTTCGCTCTTGTCTGCTCGCGTGCCACTCAGCACGTATATCCCACACCCTCGATTCCCACCCTCTTCGTCTTCGATCGTATCCCCTTGGGGGTATATCCTTCTTACCTGCAAGGTGTATTTCATACAGCACCTGGAAACGAAGACGGATGGAAGGAAGGGACAAGGGGGAGAGAGGAGGATGGAGCACGAGAGAGAGTAGAAGGAGGGGGGCTAGGAGCAGAAAGCACGCGGCCGAACCAGACGGGCAGTTCGGGCGGGTAGACCCTAACATGCGGGCCCAGGCGGCCAGGTCGAGCAGGCGGGTTGCTGAAGCGTGCGTCTTGCATGAATCGCCAGGAAGCCTTGAGCGACAGCGCGATTCCAAAATAAATCTCGTGAGGAGTTCCAGAGCGAAAGCGTGATTCATGAGTGTCGAGGGCGCGGCGCCTGAATCAATTGAGAGGACGTCCCAAGCGACAGCGCAATTCCTGCGTGTCTAAAGCGCGACGCCTGAATACATTGCGAGGAAGTATCCAGCGAGAGCGCGATTCTTCTATAAATTGTAAGGAACTCCCTAACGAGAGCGCGATTCTCAAATACATCGTACAAAGAGGCATCAGGCGGAAACCGCTGTTGTTGTAAACCGGAGGCCAGGGGCACAGTTTGAACAGGATGATTTTCTTTTGTAAAAACACAGCGAGCCCTGGGAGGGGCATTTCCATCGACAAAAACACGTATGATGCGCGAGCGCGTGGGTCTTGCATAATTCGCGAAGAGCTTTGGGGCGAGAGCACGATTCCTAAGTGAATTATGAGGAAATCACAGGCAAGAGCGCGATTCCTGAATGGCGAGGAAGTGGCGCTTAAATAATTTTACCGAATTCGCAGCCGAGAACGCGATTCTTGAATAGATTGCAAAGAAGTCCCTAGCGAGAGCGCGATTTCTGAGTAAATTGCGAGGACGTGTTAGGCGAGAGCCGTTGTTGTTGTAGTCCGGGGGCCAGGGCCGCAGTTTGAGCAGGATGATTTGGGTTGAATTTTTTGGAAAAACAGGGTGCGAGCCCCGTGAGGAGCACTTCAATTACAAAAAACATATGTTACGGAAGGGGGATCAACAATTGTTATTCTTCAATAGTGGTAGTTCAACACTGACAGCACACCACGAACAACAACAACAGCCTCAACAACAACAACAACAACAACAACAGCAACAACAACACCAATAACAGCAACAACACAACAACCGCACCACCACCACCACCACCACCACCAACAACAACAACAATCAGGCCACCACCAACAACAACAATCCTTTTAATACTGTTCGCTCCTATCTGCTCGCTCGCCATTCAACACGTATATCCCAAACCCTCGATACCCGCCCTCTTTATCTTCGACCGTACCCCCTTTGGGGGACATCCTTCTGACCTGCATCGCGTATTCCGTGCAGCCCCTAAGGCAGGGTAAGAGAGGGCGAACGGAAGGAAAGGACAAGGGGGAGGGAGGAGGACGGAGCACGAGAGAGATTAGCAGGAGGGGGGCCAGGAGCAGAAAACACGTGGTAGAACCAGACGGGCAGATCGGGCGGGCAGACCCTAGCGGGCGGGTCGGGAAGGCGGGCCCAGGCGGCCAGGTCGACCAAGCGGGTTGCTGAAGCGTGCGTCCTGCATGAATCGCGAGGAAGATTCGAGCGATAGCGCCATTCCCAAATAAATCGAGGGAGAAGCCAGAGCCGGAAGCGTGATTCATGAGTGTCGAGGGCGCGGCGTTTGAATAAATCATGAGAGTTTTCCACGGGAGTGCGCGATTTTTGAAAAAGATGTGAAGTCCCGCGCGAGAGCGCGATTTTGGAATACACGGTTTGGAAGTATCAGGCGGGAGCCGTTGTTGTTGTAGCCGGAGGGCCAGGGGCCCAGTTTGAACAGGAATATTCTCTTTGACACAGAACAGGGTGCGAGCCCCGATGGGTGCATTTATATTGAAGAAACATATACGTTGGTCAGGGGGATCAACAATTATCATTATTAAAGAATGAGAGTTCCACAACAACAACAACAACAATCATTCAAGACTGGGGACACTCCGTTCTCACCAGTGCCAGGGTTTTCATAGGAGGCGGGCAATACCCCCACTTTGTGGGGGGGCCGGTTCAAGCTCTACCAAATTTCCATACGACTCTTCGCCACCACCCACACCCAGCTTCCCGCCCTATGACGTTCGGACACTTCACTTCGTGGCATGCGGACGACCGTGGCTACTATTCAGGGCCCCGCGGCCGACGACGACGGCGTGCGCGCGCGAAGAAAAAACGAATGTGTCCAATATGGTATTATTTGACAGGGATGATGGCCCTGGCATGCGCGCAACCGTTGTTGCAGAAGTTCGAAGCACGTGAAAAAGTTGCTCGCAAGAGCCCGTTTGACAGAAATGTTGAAAAAATATTGGGTTTCCTCAGAAATCCGCAAGAGCGCGCAAGATGAATTTTTGAAACTTTTTTTTTGAAAAACCATTGGGTTTTTCATGTTTTTATGTTAAAATCGCTACGAAAACTAAGGTTTTGGAAGGATTTCATCTTGCGCGCGCGAGTGTGCACTTCGTGTCATTTTTTTGCAAAGGATTCTTGAAGTTTGGTTATGTTAGAACAAGAGATTTCATTTTATAGTGTTTTTTGCAAGGGAAAGCGGGCGTCAACAAAACAACCGGATCTGGTATACCCCGTTTTGCCTGAGACTTCCTCACGAAAATGATGAAAATGTGGCTGCGGCCTAGGCGCGGCGGGGGGGCGCGCACCAGGGGTCCCAACAATAATTATTCTTTAGAATTAATAATGTTCAACAACAACAACAACAACAACAACAACAACAACAACAACATCAACATCAACATCAACAACAACGACGACGACAACAACAGCAGCAACAATAACAACAGCGACACAACAACAACAATAACAACAACAACAGCAACAGCGCAACAACTATCCGCATCGCGGAACCCCACTTCAGCCATGCGCCCAAGGACAGTGAATGACCGCTCGCCCCCCTCATTCTGATCCAGTGCGTCTCGGACGTTCTGGGAAGGGGCGCCACAAGGCCCAGGCGCACGGGATATGGGTAGAAATCTAGCCCTTGTAAGGGCAGAGTGTTCCTCCACATCCAGTGCGCCTCGGGCTTCCTGGGGCAGGGAACCCGAAACTCCAAGCTGCAGCGGACACAGTCGGGCCGAGGTACAAGATCGAGATCGGTTTGGGGAGGGCACCCGAGTGTTCTTCGTGACTCTTGAATGTTCTTGTGCATTCTGGGGAGGACACCTTTGGATGTTATGTTTGTGTTGGCCGACGGAGGTCCTCGTGTTCTCGAAGGGTGTTCTTCTGGCCTAGGCCCACCTGTATGCACACAAGCCTCTCCCGCTGAAGGGCCACGGGGCACAGCGCGAGGAGAGCGGCGGCGCGCCCATGGGAGGACGCCAGGGCTCAGGAAAGCTTCTGGAGCGCAGCGGCCATCGCAGGGTCGATTTCGATCCAATCGATGTGGTTCGACACTCGGAGGAAGGACAGGTACCCACACCGCTACCCTTCCCTCGTTTCCCCCTTTTTGGGCCTCCTGGGAGGCCCTCCTCGCCATCGCTGGATTCGCCTCGACATTCTAGCCAGAACGCACCCCAGGAAAGGTCCGGTGAGTAGCGGGATCGGTACTTTTCTGTTTTCCCAGATATTGATTCCGACCGGCCCGAGTCGATGCGATTCCGACGCGTATCAATTTCCATTGGCCCGATCCGACGCGATTCCGATATTCCGACGAGCCGACGCGGCCCGATGCATACACGGCGTTGTTGTGCATCTTGGCGTACAGTCGGGGCCCTGAAGAAGGAACCCTTTTGGTTGGGGAGGGGCTCCGCGTTCCTTAAGTGTTTCGCAGCTTGCCTCAGGTTTTCCTTATGTTTTCGATAAGAAATCGCAGTTTAACTTATGGAAAAAAGGGGCCTCGTTCCTTATTTAGGGTTCCTTAGGTCGGCGCCTCGACTGTAGCCGATCCGATTAGATTTCGACTTCGTGCCGATGCGGCCCGATCTGACCCACGTTCCGATTCGATCCGGCTTCCCGATTCGGTGCTGGCTGATCTTGCCATCAGGAGCAGCGTGCCGCGAGAGTGCGGTGTTCGGAAGTCCTCGTCGGTTCCTGGAGACTGTCCTGCCTCGGGATGCGCTTCGACAGCCGCGCCTCGCCCAGAGGCGTCCCGAGCGGCATGGCGCGACGACCAGGGATAAGTCGGGCCTGTCCCCCTACAGGGGGATTTTGGACGGAAAAGTAAGAATGCACCAAACATATGCAAAAATATTCAAAGAATAGTCCCCAGACTATTTTTTGACTGTTTTTGAATATTCCTCCTGTAGAGGGACAGGCCCGACTTAAGACCAGGGCGCAGCGGCCCCAGACCTTCTCGCGTCATTGGGGAACGACGGCGGGAGGGTCTTTCACTGGTTTCGCCCTCTGCGTGGCCTCGCCGGGCTCCGGGGCCGCTCAGAAAATCGGTGGCTCGAAGATGGGGTCCTGAGGGATGGGGTCCTAAGCCGATGAGACATAAGAGTGACCTTTCGCCAGAGTGACCTTTGGTGCGGGCTCAATGGGGTCCTGATCGCCGAGAGCGATGCGATAGTAGCGTCTTGCGCGCTCGTTTTTGGTCCCCCCGCGGCCCCCGAAAAACCGCGCAACAAAGGTAGCCGACGAAGGATGGGGAGGGATCTAAGGGTGGATGTTGATTTTTACACATGATTTGACACATACCACGCTCTTGCAAACATCCCACCCACCCACCCGCAACTTGGTTTGCAAAACCTCTTAAGACCGACTACGACGACACCGACGATAACGACTACGACGACACCGACGACGTCTCCGACGACTTCGACGACGACAACGACGCCGACGACGACGACGACGAAGACGACGACGACGCCAGCGAAGACGACGACGAGGGAGGAGGAAGGACGACGACGGCGACAACGACGACAACGACGACAACGGCGAGGGAGGAGGGAGGACGGCGACGACGCGAACGACGAAGAAGGAGGAAGGACGGCGACGCCGACGACGACAACGACGAGGGAGGAGGGAAGACGACGACGACAACGACGATGACGACGACGACGACGACGGCGGCGAAATAGGAGGGACGACGACGAGACGCCGACGACGGACGACGACGACGACGACGAGGGAGGAGGAGCAAGGACGACCACGGCGACAACGACGACGGAAACGACCACGACGCCAAAGAGGACGACGACGACGAACACGAGGAAAGACAGAGGACGACGTAGGCGACGACGACGACGACGACGACGCGGGAGGAGGCAGGACGGCGACGACGACGACGACGACGACGACGCAAGAGCGCGCGCGCACGCTTTTGTTGAAAATCCGTGTTGCGAAACCTTGTGTTGGTGTAGGTTTTTTGGACACACGATTTTGAAATCCTTCCGAAACCGATGGGTTTTGAAGGTTTTCGGCGTACGGGCGCGACGACGCGCGCGTGTGCACTTCGTCCCATTTTCTGCAGAGGATTCTTGCGACGGCACACGCGCAAGGGCGTTCGACAGATTTCGACATGCGCGCGCGAAGCCCGTTTAATAGCATTTTGTGAAAAGTTTGAAAAACCTTTGTTTTCTTAAGATTTCGCAGAAGCTCGCGCGGAAGCTTTTTTAGCAAATCAGTGTTGCGAAGCCCTGTTTTTTTATGTTTGTTTGGAAACTCGATTGCGAAATCCTTCTGGCACCGAAGGTTTTTGGAGGATTTCGGCATGCGCGCGCGACGACGCGCGCGCGTGTTCACTTCGTCCTATTATTTGCAAGGGATTCGTGAAAAAATGCTATGTTATAACAAGAAATGTCACCGCATAGTGTTTTCACTAGGGAACCTCAGGGGGGGGAACCCGGCCCCCCTGGGATAGTGCAAATTCATATTTAGGATGGACATGTGGTCAGAATCATATGTGATTTACATACCCGAAAGGGGGACCGATAACGCCGGGGGGGTAGAGTCTATTCTCTTTTTAGAAAGGAGAATACATTGTTCGAGGCACCTCGTCCCTAGGGCCCCATCCTTCAGGACCCCATCGCTGAACCGCCGAGGAGAGACTTGGGGCGGCAGTGGGCCCTGGGAAACGCGTCGAGACCTCCCGTGGCTCACGCTATGGACACATCTCGACGTCGGTGGTCTGGGAAAGCCTCCTCCTCCTCCTCCTCCTCCTCCTCCTCCTCCTCCTCCTCCTCCTCCTCCTCCTCCTCTTCCTCCCCCTCCGGCGCACAGCGGCTAGCGGGAAAGGCGGATCGGCGTGCCTTGGTCCTCCGGGTCGCCCGAGGGGGCGCCCAGAGGCCCGCGCTTCGCGCACAGCGGCCCGGGCTGCAGAGCTGCTGGAGGGGGCGCCCTTCTCCAGGGCCCCGGCGCGAGGGAGCGACGGGCTCCCGGAGGCCCGTTGGTTAGGGGGGGGGGTCTCTCGTCGGGGGCGGCAAAGAGGGGGGTGATGACTGGGGGGGGATATCTTGGCGTGGGCAATGATATTTCTCCAGATTTCATGGCGCCTCTTCTTGTTTCATTACGTCCCTGGCCCCCCCGCTGGGCCGCGCACATGCCGCCGGTCATGATTTGCACCCCCCCCCCTTGGCCGCTCCCGATCTCGGGAGGCCTCTTGAAGCCAGCGGAGCGCCAGTCTGGAAGCTTCGGGGCCCTCTCGGGGCCCTTTCTGAGGGGGGCCTCGGCGCCCTTCTGGGGGCGAGATCTTGCCTCTCGTGGCCCTCTCGGGACGCTCGAGGGCGCCTCTTGGTTGCTCGAGGAGCTCTCTTGGGGCACTCTTGGGCCATATTGGGGCCACCTTCCAATCAAAGCTTGCGGGAAGCGAACAGGTGAGAAGGTTAACACTATGGTTTCTCAATTGTGTGTTGACGGATTTGCGCCTCTTGGCGGGTGCCTCGCAAGGCTCGCGGGGCACTTGGAATCGTCTTGGGGTTGCTTCTGGGTATCCTGGGGCATCTTGTACACCTTCTTGGGTCGTCTTGGGTATCTTGAACGATCTTGGATGCCATCTTGCGCTCTTGGATGCACTGTTGGTGCCATCTTGGGAATCTTGGACGCTCCCACGACCCGCGCCCCCCCAGGTTCAGACCCAGGGGACAGGGTAGGGATGGGTCAAGACTCTCGCCCTGCCCGCAAGCCGTCTCGCTCACTCCCACCCGCTCTACCAACACATACGTAGCACCCGAGTCTGGCCCGAGCCTCAGCATATTCAGCAGTCGTCTTTGGATGGTCAGCTACTGGGGGCCAATCCGCCGCCGCCGCGGCCGCCGCCGCCGCCGCCGCCGCGGCCGCCGCCGCCGCCGCCGCCGCCGCTGCCCGCCGCCGCTCGCCGCCGCCGCAGCCGCCGCCGCCGCCGGCCGCCGCCGCCCGCCGCCGCCGCCGCCGCCGCCCCCCGCTGCCAAATCGCCGCCGCCGCAGCCGCTGCCGCCGCAGCCGCTGCCGCCACCGCCACCGCCGCCGCCGCCACCGCCGCTGCCGCCGCAGCCGCCGCAGCCGCCGCCGCCCGCCGCCGCCCCCGCCGCCGTCGCCGCCACCGCCGCCGCCGCCGCCGCAGTCGCCGCAGCCGCCGCCGCCGCCGCCGCCGCCGCCGCCGCCGCCTAGTGTACTCTGCATTCTTGTTTGACATGGATGGTGGGGGGA